AGAGAGAATCCGTCTTTGTAATCTCCTGACGCACCGTCTTCGCACCGGAGCAGCCCAACTTCTCTCAGCGCGTCCAGCAACTCGCTATCATCATGCTGGCCAAACGGATCCAGAACCTCGCGCACCGTACCCGCAAACACAACCGGGTCCTGCGGGATGATGCCAACCCGCGAGCGGAGATCATGGAGTCGCACCTGCGCGATATCGATCCCGTCGATGTGGATGGACCCTGACCGCGCGTCCAGGCAGCGGAGGAGCGCCAGGGCGAGCGAGGATTTGCCCGCGCCTGTCCGACCCACGATACCGACGCGTTCGCCGGGGCGCAAGGTGAAGGTCAGGTCCTGCAGGACAGGTGGGAGGTCTGGCCCGTAGCTGACACAGAGATCGGTAACCTCTATCTCGCCGTTGCTGGGCCAGTATACGGGCACGGGGATGCCGGACTGGGGTTCCTGGTCGAGCTGCGTGTACTCGACTATGCGCTCGGCGGCGTTGGCGTCGAGTTCGAGCTTGGTGTACTGCGAGAGGAGCCAGGAGATGTGGTCGGAGAGTTCGAGGGCGAAGCTGAGGGCGAATCCGGCGAGGGGGGCGTCTAGGGTGCGGATGGTGACGAAGGTGATTGTCACGGACGCGACGAACTAGATAGTTAGCATTGGCAGTTGTGGGATGAGGGGGAGGGAAGTACAATTGCGCCGACCATGCTCATCCAGAACGACATCCAGCAGGAGAATAGCCGTTTGTGCCAGAGGGCCTGGCAGTGTACATCAATCAGATCGTACATTCGCTTCAGGTATGCCTTTTCTCTCCCGAATGCACGGATAGTAGGTAGCCCGGTGAGCAAAGACCCGACCAGCTCGAAGATGGGCGATCGAGCGGTACTTTCTAGTCGTTTTGCCTCGCGCGCACCGGTGACATAGAAGAAGGCGACTGCCCACGACGCCAACAGTGTCAGCAGGCCAAGTCCCACAATGAGAGGAGAAGTCACCGAAGCCGCGACAATGACGCCGAGGATCATGATGCCGCTATGCAGGAGATACGACAGATCAAGAGCAAGGTCCGAGTCGAAGGTGCTGAAATCTGACGTGAACCGGTTCAGAATCTGGCCAACCGGCGTCATATCGAGGAAACGAAGAGGGGCCCCGAGGATGGTCTGGGCAAACTGTTCGAACATCACTCTGGAAGCTTTAATGGAGCCACTGAGGATGATCTGGATCCGGATGATGTCCAGGATCCACGAGGCGAATGCCAAGCCGAAATAAATCGAGCTATAGTAGACAAGGCGATGGTCCAAATGCAGTCCGCCAGTCCTGAAATTTGGATGATCACCAGACTGTGTGAGGATCGATCGTGGAGTATTTTGATTGTATGCCCTGGTCCAAACGGAAACCCAGTAAGGAGCTGCCAGGTTCAGTACCAGAGTCAAGACGCAAAGAACGATGACGAGAATCCAGCGCGGGTAGCCCCCGGAGGCTCTCACATAAGCCTTGTATACCTCTGCTCTGACCACGCCACGCTCTCGCTTCTCTTCCTCGTAGTACTTCTTGGGCTGGGTGTCTGACTCCGTCGGACCTGCGTTTATTCGCTGGCCAGTCTTCAGTGGCGTAGGTTCGCTATCCGACGGGTCTGACGTGCTGTCATCAAGTCTTTGTTCGGGAGTTTCTTGGACAAGACTGGACGGATGCCCTGCTTGCACAACGCTGCCATTCTCCAGCCTCACCAGGTACGCGGCCCCTCCCAGGCACAATCGAACATGGTGCGTCGCCAAGACTCTTGTTCTCCCTTTCGCCAGAGCCCCAGTCAAAGCATGGTCATACAGATGCCGTCCAACATTAGAATCAACCGCACTGAATATATCGTCCAAAACGAGAATACTAGCACGACTGTATAGCGCCCTCGCCAACGCCAGACGCCACTTCTGCCCCCCGCTAAGATTGATTCCATCAGCGCCGATATCAGTTCTATCTCCGTCAGGAAGCCACTGCAGATCGTGCGAGAGCGCGCAGGCGTGAATGACCTTCTCATATCGCTCTGGGTCGAACGGCAGTCCGAACAAGATGGCATCACGGACCGTCGCGTTCTCGATCCACGGATCCTGGGAGACATATGCAACTAGGCCATCCACTATCCAGTCTTCCTCGCCGGCTGGGCAGTTGGCGGCTGATGCGCGAGGCACAATTGCAGTCCCCTTTACGATGTCTGCTTCGCCGATGAGTGCTTGAAGAAGTAGGGATTTGCCAGCGCCGCTCCGTCCTGAGATGATAGTGAGCTCCCGCGGAGGAAAGTCAAGATTGAGACCCTTCAGCTGGAACTGTTCTGCTGTATCTTCTGACGCAACGCACGGCCATGCAATGGTAGCGTCGCGGAAGGAGATAGCGTCACCGTCACCAGGTGCTCTCTTGTCCTCGTGTTCTGCCAGATCTAGGAAGCCCTCGATTCGCCGAAGGCTGACCCTGGCATCTAGTAGATCGGTAAACATCTCCGGGAACATGCTGAGCACGCTCTGTAAATTCTCAAAGAGCGACAAGGCTGTAAACGCAACTGAAACAGCAATGGAACCGTTCAGGTAGATATGTGTCGCGATCGAGAGACAGCTCATGCACAGCGGACCCAGCGTCCAGACGGCTGTTAGGTAGACATCGAGCTGGAAGACAGTGTGCTGGTTATGCAGTTCTTTTTCACGCAACCCCAGAATCTTGTCGTACCATTGGCTTTCGAGCGCGCTGAACTTGATCTGCCGCATGCCGCGCATCAAGACCGTCAGAGTCGCGGATTTGTCGTCCCGGCGGTCCATGAGGGCTTGTTCCTGTTCACTGTACCGATTCGTCAAATAGTAGTAGAAAGGTATCAGAAGGACAGGAATAGCGCAACCAGCCGCTATGGGTTTCCATCCCATTAGGTATACGAGGAAGACGATGGCGATGCCGAGTTCAAGTATGCAGTCCAGGAGCAGATGGCTGTAGGCGACGAAATCGGAGACTCTTTCCACGTCTACTCCGAGGAGATTGAGAACAGAGTGCTTTGTTCTGGGTGGAGCATCGTCATCGCCATCATCGTCGCTCGCAGCATCATCATCCTCGCTATCGCCGGCGGATATCACTGCATCCTTCAAGCTCATGGCTTTCTTGGAAATGACTGCAAGCAGCTGTTGATTGATCGGCAGAGAAAGCTTCATATCAGCCACAAAGTCTCTCAAGGATATGGACCACGAGGTGACCACCATCGAAAGCCCAAGACCCAGGGCAGCCAACCATAGTTGCAACTGATTGCTTGCTCCCGCATCACGGTCCTCGAAGAGGCGAAGGATGGTAAGGAGGAGGAAGTGAGGGAGGAAGTTGACAGCATTGGCGACGAGCTGCAAGATCACCTGAAAGGTAATCTCTGCCCAGTACAGCTTAAGCCACCTCCTCCATCGCGCTGAGGCTGAGCTGACTGCAAAGAAGGAGTCGGAGAGCGTCTTCGCACGAACGTCATCTCCAATGACTGGGAGGTCATCAATGTTGAGTCTTTTATTTTTCGCCGCGATGGAAAGGGTTCTGTACGCCCAGGAGAAGGTGTATCGGTTTAGGAACGAGACAGATTTCTGCGAATCGACTGGACGGCCGTTGCGGTAGAGCGTAGGTCCTCTTGGGAAGGCGAGGTTCACGAAGACGAGAATGACAGCGGCGACCAGTTGAACGATACCCGATGCATCTCGGGGAGTCAATTTGAAGTCAGGTTTGCTATGCAACGACGAAGCATATGGCCAGGCTATACAGACGCCTATGGCCAGACTCGCCAAGGCGCTGTAGTAGCCTAGGCGATATCTGGCTTCTGGATCCCGACGGCTTATTAGAACCAATTCTTGACCTAGGATCATAATCTGCAAACATGGTCATCTCTAGAGCTCGAAGCGCTCAGCAGCGTTGCCTCTTACCCATGTTGCAAAATAAAGGACCCTTGAAGCAAGCACTGGTTGGATGCTTAGGCATGACCAGAGCGCCGCAATGGTGGCTGCTCCTGCCGCCACAACTAGAGTGACGCGCTGCCAGACTGATCGTGGCGACTTGGCACTGGTAACAGACTCATCGTCGTTGCTCGACTCGAGTAATCTGTATTGTTTCTTGCTTCCGCAGTCCCTGACAAGCTGTCGGGCATGAGGGATTGATAGGAGCAAGATTGCTGACACCCCTACGGAGGGGATAGGGAGGGTCGACAGAGACATGGACGTGAGACTAACGATTCATTTTGAGAATTTGCAGGAGAATCGAGTCGACAAAAGTCAAATATGAACCAAAGGTCTGCCGAGATGGGTACTCCTGATGAGTCAAGATCTGATCTGACCATTTCAGGCATCAGGATTACTGCAGGGATCAGATTGTCGGGCACCCGATTAGGACATGCTCTGCGTCTCAGAGCCAAGGGTGAGCAATTTTAAACATGCATACTGCTTGAAATTTTGCTGAAGAAGTATGCAGATAATATTGGTGTCATATTTGTCATTGTCACGCTGCATGCGTGTAGGCAGACGTAGCTCATAGGACCAGATTGCTGCAGACAACAGCCTTTCCTTAACGTTTATTTGATGTTTCTGTGCTGTCCCGAAATTCGGCAAGGATTTAAGCTCAGGTATTTTTAAATAAGAATATTGGTTTAGCTTGTATTTAGTTTAACTACTAGTAGAGGCCCTGCATTAAGCTGATGAAGCTTAGGGGGACGGTACCATAAGTTGGGACATCTGGAATCTTCCACTGCCAATTTAGCTACGGTTGACGAAGACAGACATCTCTGGATGATCTACAGGCCGTAAGTGGCTGACCATATAAACTTCATTTTCGAAATGTCCAGAAAGTCGCTCAATATTATTAATAACCGCGAATACGAGGCAATTTGTCAGCATCGGTCGACCTCTATACAGAATATACTTCTCTTATACTTCGTAGACAGCAAACTATAAAGGTAGCCTCCTGACAACGGTTTTCTTAACTAAAGCCAAGCGCATAAGTTTCTATTAGCTATCCAGTAACATGTCTCCTATCCAGAACGTCACTGTTCTAGGGGTATCGTCCGCCTTTCCCCGTAGCATATATTCCATCACGAACATACTAACGAATATATCGTCAGGCATCCGGAGCCGTCGGGACCCTCCTGGTAGACGCTCTGCTCGCCTCCAACTTTACCGTCTCAGTGGTCCTCCGTCCCTCATCCAAGGCTACTTTCCCAGCGTCTGTGACCGTCCACCGCGCCAACTATGACGACCTCGAGGCCCTCACTACCGCCTTTCAGGGCCAGGACGCCGTCATCTCAGCCGTGGGGACCTTCGACGCCGCCATCCAGCGCACAGCCATCGACGCCGCAGCCGCCGTGCCCAGCGTAAGGCGGTTCATCCCAAGCGAGTACGGAGGCGATACGTCGCAGCCGGGGCCCGTCAGCTTTGCCCGATTCCCGCAGGCTAAGCGGGAGATTGTCGAGTACCTGGATTCAAAGGAGGGGATAACGTGGACGGCGATTTGCACGGGGTCGTTCATCAATTGGGTCCGTTTCCCTCACTTCCTACACTCAAACTGACACTGATACTGACGACTGTTGTAGCTACTTGAGTTGGAAAACGCAGCAATGGGCTGGGACCTATCTGCGCGCAAAGTCAGCATCTTCGATTCTGGCAATCGGCCGTTTGTCGTGAGTACGCTTGGGCAGGTGACGAGGGCGATCATCTCGGTCCTGCAGCATGAGGAGGAGACGAAGAATGCGTATGTGTATGTGAAGTCTTTTGAGGTGACGCAGACTCAGCTCCTGGGGTTGATTGAGCGGTTGTCGGGGACGAAGTTCGAGGTGAAGCATTTAACTACGGAGGAGATTGCGCAGCGGGGAGTGGATCATCTCGAGGAGGGAGACTATGAGCATGGATATCCCGAGGTGGTGACGGCGGTGGCATATGGACCATGGGGGTTCTTAGGGTTTGGAGAGCAAGCAGAGAAGTGGAATGGTGTCCTGGATCTTCCGAAGGAGGACCTCGAGGAGACAGTCAGGGATATCCTGAAGAAGAAGGGATTATTGAAGGAGTAATCTGAGTTAACTGGGATATGATCTTCAGTGCTAATATTCTATTATGGCTTCGTCTACTACCACGGGTTAATATAATACGATCAATACTAACTTCCGTACACAACGAAAGTGGTGGAAATGTCCACTATAGAACTGTGTCTGAACTAGATATCCGGTAAAATGATTCCTACTGCCAGGGTCAAATGGCCTGCTGACATTTCTGTGTTCATAATGCTATCGCAGTGTATCTGTATATCCTTGAGTTCATCAATTCCCCCGCCCCCACCGGAGCTTCCATGACTGCTAAAGCATTACTCTGCATTCTGGTCAACTGCCCACGACAGAGACCTTAGCTAGAATATCCGGCGAATAGGTATATTCCCGAGCAAGCTTAAAACTGCAGCTTTAATTTCCCCTTCAATTAACACCCAACTATCAATCTCCACATTCTCTCCACATTCCCATCCTGAAGAACCGGGGAAAGACTTTTGGCTAATAATCCTCGTATTATTCCTGATGAATTAGGCTATTTCTAGGATGGTAGGGTTATAAACCCGTAGTTCCTGCAGAAAGCTGAGATCGTCAGAGGTGATATTTGAATTGTTCTTGTCATGTTGTACTCCATTGTTGCTCTTTTCTTAGGGCTTGGGCTGATAGCCCAAGCCCAACAGACATTCACCAATCCCGTCATCTATGAAGACTTCCCTGATAATGACATCTTCCTGGGGCCCGATGGAAAGACATTCTACTGGTCTAGCTCCAATTTCCACTACTCTCCCGGCGCCCCAATCCTCCAGTCTACTGATCTGGTGAACTGGGAGCTGATCGGCCATTCCGTGCCAACTCTGGACTTTGGATCCAACTACAACATGGAAAACGGCCAGACAGCCTACAACGGCGGAACCTGGGCCTCCACCTTACGCCATCGCAAGAGCAATGACAAATGGTACTGGATCGGCTGCGTCAACTTCTGGACTACGTACGTCTACACAGCCCCGGACGTCAAGGGCCCCTGGAAGCAATCCGCTAGCTTCCAACCCTGCTTCTACGACTGCGGGCTCTTGATCGACGATGACGACACAATGTATGTGGCCTACGGGAGCAATAACGTCTCTGTTGCCCAGCTTGCTCCGGACGGGTTGAGCGTCGTCAGGACGCAGCAGGTCTTCAGCTACCCGTCCGAGTGCCCGGGGGGAATCGAGGGGAACCGCATGTACAAGATCAATGGCCTGTATTACATTCTCGACGACTGCCCCGCGAACGGGATCACCGAGGTCTGGAAGGCCTCCAGCCCGTTTGGGCCTTATGAACGGAAGATCCTCAGCAACAACACTCCCTCTCCCGTTCCTGGCTCCGGCGCACCCGTCCAAGGCAGTCTCATCGAGACGCCAAACGGGCAGTGGTACTTTATGTCGTTTGCGTGGGCATATCCTCTCGGCCGACTACCGGTTCTTGCCCCGGTAACATGGGGATCGGACGGCTTCCCCAGCCTCCAGACAGTGAACAACGCCTGGGGCAAGTCCTACCCGTACCCCCTTCCCAAGAACAACAGCGTGCCGTCGTGGATCGGCGGCGACCAGTTCTGGGGCAACTCACTGGGCCCAATGTGGGAGTGGAACCACAACCCCGACACGACCAAATTCGCCTTTAACTCTCCCGGCCTGACGCTGCAGGCAGCAACCGTCACCAATGACCTGTACCACGCGCGAAACACCCTCACCCATCGACCCCATGGCCAGTTCCCAGTAGGGACGCTCCTGCTTGACTTCACCAACATGGCCGACGGCGACCAATGCGGGCTAGCCGTCTTCAAAGACCAAAGCGCCTGGATTGGGGTCGTGCGCAGTGGTAACAGCTACACGGTGACTGCCGTGCAAGGGCTCACGCAGGATGCCAGCAATAACTGGGCCACGAAGAGTACTGGGACCGTGGTCGGGAGTGCGCCTATTTCAGCACGCCAGATCTACCTCCAGATTCGGATGGATGCGCGCGCGGACGGTTCGAAGCAGTCGACGTTCTATTATAGTGTTGAAGGGAACACATACTCTCAGCTTGGTGGTGCGTTTACTTCTGATAGTGGCTGGCAATATTTTATGGGATACCGGTTCGCCATATTCAACTTTGCTACCAAGGCTTTGGGAGGTTCGGTTAAGGTTCTCGGTTTTACGAGCTGGACCAGTGGGAATTAGTAGTAGTATATCCTTTGCTATTCTACAGGAGATGTCAAGATCACCCGTCATTTTGTAAAGGGCAGACGTTGCGTGGATGGTATCGTTCCTGATGGCTCGTTGCCGGTCATATGAACCTACGAGCTTAGGGCTGATTAGCTGAGATGTCAGCATGAATCATGATCCTCCTGATGTCATGACAAATGCTTAGCTGGCCCTCTTGCAAGAAGGCCATCCTCTCATCGCTTCTTCTATAGTTCATAGTTGTTAGCGGCTTGGTGCAGACAGCACAACACGCCCGAGTGGACGGAATCCCATATGGCCTGGTGCGGGTCTCTTTCGGGGTTCCTGGTGATCGGAAGGACGTTCGCATGCTGCTTCGACTACGGGATTCCTCTGTACAGCCCGATCAGTACAAAGCATGGCATCCGCCGGTCGTTTTCAGCCCCTCCCCGGTGGACTGATGTTTATCGATCCTTCTTCATCAAAATAACACCTCGCTGGCTGACGAGCAAGGATAATTATGAGGAAGCCCTCCAATACCTAGCTTACATCCGGAACAAACGTGTGAACCACGCGGAAGTACAGAAAGAGACGACTGAGATCAGAACGTCCATTGAAGACGAGCTGGCAGCGACAGAGGGCTCACCTGGAAGGAATTTCTGGAAACAAATAACCGGAATTGGTTTCTCTTCGCCGTGTGCTCATATTCTGGCAGTAGTTCAGCGGCACAGATTCAATCGGGTACATGCTCCTCAGACAATTTCGGACGATTGGCCAGAGTGCGACAAGTTCATTCCTCTTTGTTTCGTCGTCTATGGAACAGTCAGATTGTCGCCACAGCGATTTTCTTGTTCACTGGGTCGACTGATGGGGCTGATGCCAAGTCTCTGGCGTTGCTGCCTGCATGGCGACCGCGATGACTCATTTGGTCTGTCTTAGACACGCATGCGCCAGATCCAAACGCCTCAGGGGTATCGCAGGCCTCAATCGCCGTGGTCGTCATCGGCTATTCGGCCTGGAGACCTGTCCATTGGACTATATTGGCGAGGTAAGATGACCTCTGCATGTTTCTGTTGTTCAAGCGCATATGCTGTCCCCGACCGACTTTGTGTATACGGCGTTGATCTCGGAGCCACGAGTACTGTCAATGGCTTTCATTTTGTCGTAACCGAGGTTAGGAAAAGCTGCAAGGCAACCCAAAAAAGAAAACATTTACCTTATGATTCAGAGCAATTTCGCAAACGCAGTAGTCGGCCGAGACAGAACGTTCCACGAGGAAGGTCTTATGATGGGATCATATACGACCTTCCTAGCTAGGCCCAATGTGGATACAATCTGTGAGTCAGGGTTGACGATTGCCAGTTTTCTTTTCTTTCAGAAAAGTAGTTTGGACTTGTTTCGAATTGCACAGTATTGGATGATTCTTTTGAGCCGTTACCATACCCCATGCAATAGGAAGCTGGGTTGCCGCTTGGCTACATGAAGGTGTTGACGCTACCCTAGTAATTGTGGAGAAGATACGATCTGCTTGGGAGGACGCTGCATCGAACGTTTGATGTAATAATTCCCCTGGCGCAAGGAATGCCGCATACTTCAAATAGAAGAAACATCACGTTCCTAGAGAGCCTTGGTTCTTCGAGACGTCTCGTCACAGATTGAAACTTGTTATCACCGCGGTTGGGTTTTGAACTACTGCATGGAATGAACGTGACATTCTGACTCAGCGACAACATACGCAGTTACACCCCTTGAAGTAGGACGAGCGATACTTAGCCCCCTGTTATCTGCCCGATACGGTAGTCGGCACAACCTGGAGATGATCTCCCCAGAATATATAAGGAAGCGGAAAGGAAATGTGTACCTGATTGCAGCAGTATTGTCTATCGCAGCATTCGGAGTTGTGCTGGCCTATATTTCAACAACCATGTTACACTGGAGCAAATGGTTACTGGTGCCCTTTCTGTATGTTGCGAGCACTGCATCAAGTTTTAAAAATTCGCCGAATGGTGCAACTGGTTGTCAATGTGTATCCCACTCCCTGATTGAAGCAACGACGGCTGAGCTCCAGGAGGGGCTCGCTAAAGGCTGCTTCTCCAGTGTCGACCTGGTCAATGTTGGTGCACTTCCTCTCCCATAAACAGGCATTGATAATAATTAAGGTAATAGGCGTATGTGGCGCGGATACATGAGGTCAATTCGACACTTCATATGGTCCAAGAGGTTAACCCCGACGCATGGGATATAGCTCGGCAGCTTGACTTGGAGAGAGAAGATGGAATCCTACGAGGGTGAGGCAAACAGCTGTTAGGACGTTCATGATAAAAACTATTCGCTGACAGTAGCAGACCTTTGCATGGCCTTCCCATCCTAGTCAAAGGCAACATCGGCACCGAGGACAAGATGGAAACAGCTGGTAAGCTTGTATGCGGTGATATCCAGACTCAACAACTGACCAAGACTACCAGCCGGCTCTTATGCGCTCGTTGGCGCCAAGGTGGCTGCGGATTCAACAGTTGCAAAGAAGCTCAGACAGGCAGGCGTCATCATCCTCGGCAAGACCAGCATGTCAGAGTGGGCGAACTTCAGGTCACTGAATGGATCATCCGGCTGGAACGCCCAGGGAGGCCAGACATATGCAGCTTACTACCCAAAGCAGGATCCCAGCGGTAGCTCGAGTGGGAGTGGCGTTGCAGCTGATTTGGGCCTTGCCTGTGCAGCTCTAGGTACCGAGGTAAATGACTTTCATCCACAGAGTTCCCATACCATCGTGTGCTAAATTCCGAGGATTGATCAGACAAGTGGAAGCATTCTATCTCCGAGTGAGAATAACAATATTGTCGGTATAAAGCC